CAGACTTGGGAGGCAGACGGGGCACAGATTTGGGGCACAAATGGGGCACGGACGAGGGGCATGGACATGGGACCCCTCGAGGGTGGAGGCCAGGAGCCGTGAACTAAGCAGGAGCTATGGGTTCATCAAAGTGGGTTGAACTATGGCCTCCAAGTCCTAACCCCTGGTACCTGTGAATGTGGCCGATGGTGGAACTAGGGTCTTTGTAGATGTGATTCAGCTACGGATCTCCGGGTGGGATCAGCTTGGTTGGGGAGCACCTGCAAGGCAATAACAGGTGTCATAGGAGAGAGGAGAGAGGGATGGAGACACCCAGAGGGAAGCCAACCACGTGACCAGAGGAGAGAGGCTGGAGGGACTATCTGCGAGCCAAGGAGCCCAAGGAGTGCTGGCCAGCACAGGGACGCTTGGGAGAGGCAGGAGGACCCTCCCTTAGAGTCCCCAGAGGGAGCCAGACCCGCCACATCTGGACTTGGGACTTTTGGCCTCCAGAGTAAAAATAAACGAGTGGTTTTAAGTCACAGTTTATATTCGGTGTTATGGCAGCCCCAGGAAGCTAAGACAGAAGAGTGGTCACCCTGGGTGAGCAAGCAGGGACAGCAAGGGACCCACACCCAGATCTGGCAAAACCAGGCACCCCCTCCACCTCTCAGCCTCCAGCTCCCCCCTCAGGTTCCCACTCCTCTCAGCCTCCAGCTCCTCCCAGCCTCTAGCTCTTTCTGGAGGTTGAGCAGAGTCTTCTCCTCACCCAGCAAGATTCACCCTGTGGAGGTGGGAAGAGTCCCCGTGGAGCTGGCTTTCTGGGGCGGCTGCTGTGTGGCGGGAAGCAGGTGGGGTGAGAGGGCTGCCCACCGCCCACCCTGATGTGCCTGAGCCGTGCATCTCACTGGTGTCTCCCTGACGGGGCTGGGGGCGCCAGTGGGCTGGGAGAGGGTGTGTGCTGACCCTAGGGTGTGTCCCCACCTCCATGGGTTCCCCTCTCTCCTGGGGTCCGGTGCTGGCCCCGGGCACCCTTACCCGGGTTCTCGGTCACGACAGTTCTGGGAACACCCTGCACCACCTTGCTGGCCACCTGGGCATAGGGGTGGGCCCGGCCAGGTGCCTGGCACGGGCCGGGAGCCTGGACAGCTTATGCCCCATGGCCGACGTGCCTTTATGGTGCTTTTTGGAAAAGGAGGTGCATGCGATCCTAGTAGAACCTTCTTCCCACTCCATCAGTGGGATCCGTCCCAGTGTAGACAGACGCCATGCTGGCCAGCTGCAGGAAATTTCTCTTGGGAAGGAAATGAAGTCGATATTCAGAAGTGTTAATGCTGGCCCAGTGCTGAGTCGGGGGGGGGGCAGGGAAGAAGGAGCTCCCCACCCCACCCCAACCCTCCCTAGCTGCAGCAGGGGACCAGGACGCCCCCAGGGTCCATCAGAGCCACACCCCTGCCCTCCTCACGCCCACCTCTGAACTTGCCAGCCCCCCACCCACTGGCTCCAGCCACAGACAGACCCTTCCCCCTGTGGCTCTGGGGCTCCTGCTCAGGCCTGCTCCCAGCCAGGTGGTGGCTTGATGCCCTGTTTGTGGGAGGCCAGGCACCCCCAAGTGCATCCTCCTGGATTCACGATTGGGGGTCCTGGAAGGGGTGGGTGTATGTCCTCCCCCGGCTCTCCGGTCCTTTGTCCTCAGCTGGGAGCTCTGAGGGCTGCCAGGTGGCTCAGGGACCACACCGAGAGCCCACACGGGAAAGGAGAGGAGTCGGGGAATCCCACTGCTGTACCTATTCAGGATCCCCCAAGAAATCCAGAGGAAGTGCTTCCTCTCAGATAGAATTATCTTCCTCCACGATCAGGAAAAGCCCCTCGCTCCTGCCTTTCCCCTGCTCGAGATGACCCGGTGGGGGTGAGGGCTGCAGACCTCAGCCTGGGGGGCCGCGTGGGCAGAGCAGGGCCTGTCTCCCTCGATGGGGAGATGCCTCTGCGGGACCAGAAAGAATTTTCCTTGTGCTTCGCAGGCTCCGCAACCGAGTCACCATGAGAACTGTGTTTTTAATAGGAGAATCCCCTGGAGACGTATAAAACAGTGCCCGTGTGGAAGAGAGAGCCAGTCCGGGTGCTGTCCCTCTTTGGGGACATCAGGAGAGGTGAGCGTAGTGAGAGGACTGGGGGTCCTGCACTGGGGACGGGAGCCGGAGAATGTTCCCTGCGAGCCTTGCGCACCACGGTCCCAGCGGCCTCACGGGCACCCCAGCTGCGAACCTGGTGCCGGCGAAGGAGCCAGGAGGCACGGCCCCAGGCCACCCCGCCCGGACGGTGCATCCCTTGGTCTAATGTGTAAGGTCCTTCCTGCACTCGTCTTCCCACCAGCAGGCCGAGGGCTCTGTGAGGCGGTGCCCGGGGCTCCCGCAGCCATGCCCACGTGTCCCACAGCCTGGCTGGGTGACCTCAGCCTGCACACCGCAGCCTGGCGGATTTCCTAACCCGGAGCATGACACCACAGCCCCGGAAGGCCTGGTTCTGCAACAAATTCCTTGACTTAAATCAATACACAGTCGAGTTGGCTTGCTTGGTGTGGAATGTCACGAACGGCTTCATCCTCAGCCCCAGTCGCCGGGTTAAACAGAGTGTTTGCTCATGTTTTCGGGTCAGTCTTTGGCCATTTCATTCTGCGGGGGTCAAACGCTGGCCCTTCTGTGCCCTCCTCATGTCTCCCCTTGCAGAGCTCGAGAGTCTGGGCTTCTTGGAGAGTGGTTCCACCCCGGGAGGACTGAAGCACTTGGACGATGTCACGGATGTTGTGCGGAGGGACGTAAGTAGGACCGTGTGCCTCTGGGGCCAGGGTGAGCGCAGGTGTGCGGGACATCCCGTGGGGGCCGGGGCGTGTGGCTCGCAGGGATGGCAGGCACCCCACGGGCAGTGGGAGAGAGGAGAGGGTGGTTTTCGTGGCCCCCACACTGCCCACAGCCCAGAGCAGAGCCGTGGGCCCGACCTCCAGCCGAGGGGTTGAAATGCCAGGGGCCAGTCCCAGCACTGGGGACGGTGCTGCCCAGAATGTGGGCTTAATCCCGCCCGCCATCTCACAGAAAGTCTTGAACTGAACAGCCAGTCACTGTTTGGGGGCATCCTCCGAACACGGCGGCAGAATGTTCCGGCTCCCTCGAAGGCTGTTTCCTGCTGGCCCAGACAGTGGCCTTGGAGGAAGTGCCTCCCGATGACTCAACAGGACACCGCTGAGCCCGGAGCCCTTCCCAGCTGGCGGGAAGGGGCTGGGAAGCCTCCTCTGGAGGCGCCGGGGCAGGAGGACCTGGTCCGTCGGGCTCTGGCAACAGGAGAGAGGATTGGAGCCCATGGTCCTGCGAACCACCACCCATGGGCAGAGGGTTTGGGGCCGGCTGGTCACAAGGAGGGGCCCGGTGGGGGTCCTGCTCTGCCCTGCCTCAGCGTTCTGCACCCCGGCCAGCCCGGGAGCCCATGGTCCGAGGAGCTAGTCCTCCTCTCTGGCCGTGCCTGGGGGAGCCCAGCAGCCTCGTCCTGCCCCGGGCTCCCCTGCCCCGAAGCCAGCGCAGGTCTCTTCACGGGGCGGGGCACACCCGAACCCCCTGCCCTTAACCTTCATTACCATGGACCTCATCCGAGACCCCACATCTGCCCTCACCCCACCCCCTGTGGACAACCCACTGTGGGGCATTTCCGGAGCGTGCCCCCGCATGATGCTCATCCCAACCCCAGGGCCGAGTCCTCAGACAGGGTGTGCAACAGGACAGGGACATCTCCCTGCCCACTGGCTATGACTCCCAGACACCCGCCTTCCCTAGTGAAGCCTGCGGTCAGTAGCAAGGCGGGACACTTGTTTTCTACGGCTAGCCTGTGGCCTCTATCATTGATAGTCACGTGACGCCTATGATCATCAGCAACGTGTGCCATCGTTTTCGATAGTGATACTCGAAATCTGTGTTCTCTCAGTAGCCATGGGGACACCTGTTACAGCAACCCCGGCTCCGGGGTGCGTGGCATCGCTCAGCGCCCCGCGCCACCCCTCCGACCTCACTTCCTTTCACGAGGCCTGTGACACGGACCGGACTGCTCGCAGCCCCTCCTAGAGATGGGGAGCGGCCGTCCCCACCTGCTCCTGGCTGTGGGTTTCCAGGAGATTTAAAGTGAACTCCGGCGGGTTTCTGTTCCAGGCTGGAGGGGAGGGATTTGGGGGGGAACTGGGAGTTCTCGCTTAGACTCCGTCTTTCTCTGTGCGCGGCTTCACCGTGACAGGTTTGGGGGGTCAGCGGCTAACTGTCGGGTTGCTTATCTGGAACCGTCAGCCCGCACTCGGCGCCTTGCGCCCCTGACCCGCTCTCCTCTGTCCAGACACCCCTGCCGTAAGCTGGGCCAGAGCCCCGCGGCCAGACCCCCCCAGGGTCACACTCAGCGACATTAGCCCTTGGGGACAAGGGGACAGGGTGGAGGCGGCGCAAGGTTTGGGGGCTTACCGTAGGATGCAGGCTCTTGCTGAGCAGTTCGGGGGACAGTCCAGGGGGCAGGGGCTATTAGGAAACCAGGGGTCCGGTATCTGGGTCTCTCGTTAATTTATTTTAGTAGAAAGACAGGGGCTGGGATTGTCGTTAGCGGGAATCCCTCAGGCCGCCCGGAGAGGAGCACCTGTTCTTGAAGAGCATCCTTTTGTTGTCTGCTCAGGCGTGAGTGGGGGTGGATTTTATCATTTTCCGCGGGCCTGCAGTGACCGGCTGGCAGGTTAGCTCCGGGCCGCCGGATGTCACGTCGAGGGCACACACGGATTCCACGTGAATCCTGGCGCGTCACTGTGCCAACCTTCCCAGGGGCGCTTCTGTAAGGCGCAGAGGGGTCACCTCAGACCCCGAGTGCCCTGCGGAGGGCTGGCCTCCCCTCAGAGGATGGAGGCCGGGCTCCGCGCATCCCCGAGGCCAGTGGCGACCAAGAACCACCGCGGCAGGACTGACTGGTGGGCCTCACTGCCCCACCGGGGGGCTCTGCAGGGGCTCAGCCTCGTCGTAATCCCCCCACCTGGACACATGAGGTGCCCGCTGCTGTGGGGACACTTGGCCCCTGAAAGCCTGCAGCGGACAGGGCTGTTCCGGCAGGACAGTGTGCTGTCTCCCGCAGGTGGAAGGATGGGGTCCGTTCGACCTCGTGTACGGCTCCACACCCGCCCTTGGCCACGCCTGCGACCATCCTCCGGGTAAGAGACGGCGGTCTGCCCGCATCCGGGCCCTCTCGTCCCCACACCCTCCTGCATCCTGAGGGACAGCGGCATTCTGAGAAACAGTTGTCCTCGGCCTCACCCGCACGAGTAGCCTGTCCACTCAGCGAGTACGGTTTGGTGGGTTTGACCCACGGGAAGCCACGCTGCATCTGAGAGTTGGGGGGGGGATCCGTCACCGCGGAAGCTGCCTGACCCTCACCTGCTGTGCTCTGTGTCCCTGTCGCAAGTGCTCTGCCCGCGGGCTTCTCTCGCCCTGCGTCGTCCCTTCCTAACGCAGGGCGCCTGGGTGAGTCTGGGGTCTGCGCTCGGGGCCACACGGACCCCGGGGCCCTTGAGGCTCAGCCGCTCTGGCAGGGACAGGCCTGCCCTGGGGAGTAGGTGGGGCCCGCAGCAGGCCAGCCACGCCAGAGTGGCCCTCCCGCAGTCGCCCCTGCCCCCCAGCCCCTCAGCCTCCCGCTCCCGCCCTGTCCCCTCACGGGCACCGCCCCCACACACGTACACACCCTCCCCCCCACCACCCAGCGTGGTACCTGTTCCAGTTCCACCGCGTCCTGCAGTACGCGAGGCCCAGGCCAGGCAGCCAGCAGCCCTTCTTCTGGATGTTCGTAGACAATCTGGTGCTGAGCCAAGATGACCAGACCGTAGCCACTCGCTTCCTGGAGGTACGTGCAGCGCCGCAGTCTGGGTGGCGGGCACGGAGGCCTCCCCAGGGACATGCCAGTGCCTCCAGGGGACAGCACGGCTCATGGCCCCACCCCGGAGCCTCCCCTTCTTGGGGCTCACGAGGGCCCGTTGCACTCCCGAAGCACAGACCCGTCGGTGGCCTTGGAGGGCGTCCCCTGCACGTGGCTCCTGCACTTCTGGGCACGTGGGGATCCCGGTTTGTGCACAAAAACATCTCCGTACACAGTGCACGTGTGCACATGCCACACACACATGCACACACCACACACTCCGTACGAGCTCATGCACACGCATGCACACCACACATAGTTCACAGTGCACGTGGACACGCACCACATACTACGTGCGAGCTCATGCACACACATGTACACCACACATAGTACACAGTGCACGCAGACACACGCCACACACTACGCACGAG